GAACATTACAAAACATTTAACTTCAGTACATTCTCATCGCACATTAGCATCTTTACGAAAACATTATATAAATTCATTGTGGAAAACTCGGCGTGTGTGGTTGGTGAATAACAAATGACAAAGCTAGTTAGCTCCCTGTTAAGCGAATCGTACTTACATCAACTCCTAATTAACTCGCTCATCGTGAACCCTCGATAAGGTATCGAAGAAGTTCCAGACTAGAAAGAAGACTTTATATTGCTTGTAAGTTTGTAAAATGTTTGTATATAAATCATTGTGTGTAATAACTATTTGTAATAATTGTTATTGTAAATTGTATTGTTGTGTTTATATTAAAACATATTTGTGTTTAAAAAAAACTGTGTATCAATCTTGTTGGCAAATGTCATAAACTGACTATTTATCGGTTTTTACTTACCTGCTAAACCCAAAGTACAATTTAACTACTAAACTTAAAGTATCATTTAACTCAATTTCAGGCTAGTTGAAATTATAATACGTAACATACTAGCCAGAGAGTTATGTATGAATTAAATAATATACACATTAATAAGGCATGAACACTTAATAACTCTAATGTTGTTTAAACGCTAACGATTTACGTATTTTATAGATTTTTTTATCAAACAGACGAATACTTGGGATTATGATGCAGTCACGTAGATTTCATTCAAACTTTAAAATACTTGTTTCAAATTCTCATCACCACGGGGTAGGATATAAACAATGGATCGAAAAAACAAAAACAAAGCGGTAACTCCATTGTTGACAATGAACCCATTGTGTAGTTTTGTGCCTAACAACAAACAAACAAAATACAAACCTTTTAAGCGAAAATAGTTCATAATGTTACCCCCAGCACGCAACTGTTGGATGTATGACTATTCTTAGTCATAATAATTTAGTTTCGTTAAAAAGGTAAAAATAAGTTCATAATGTGAGTTAATATTAGTACATTATTGAACAAGAAAAAAAATAGTGTACGATTTGACTATATTTTTCAATCTAAGATATAAGGAAATATAACTTACACTTTTATTTAGAAACCTAAACATTGTATTCCCAGCATTTTGTTCTGTATCTATGTTTTCAATAATTTATGTTATATTTCAGCTTTCAGGCATATAATGGAAATGTCTCATGAATTATACTCACATTTACTATAGTTTTCACTGGTTTTTAACCCCATGTTAATAAAAAAATTAATTCCGTGTTACATTTGAGCCTAACGTAAACATAATCACCTGGTCTTAGATATTTCCTATCATATAACCTAATTTAGTAAAAACTAGAATATCCACAAGAATATCTGTGTCAGTTGATCTAGTTGTTTGTCCAAAGCCGTGACAAAATATGTCTTCTTCATGTTTTTGTCGTTTAAACGGAAAAAGACTGACAACACTGCTCAAGGGATTTCTCACTGAACATAATTTATGTTTCTTCAAATCCACGCAGGTACAAGGAATGTTTACCAGGAGAGAGAATCGATACTCAACTAAATGAATTCAATAAAGTAAAGGTAGTAGAAGAAAAACGTATTGTTCTCCATAGTGATCTATGAGATGTCAACAAAATACTTTATCCTTGCATGTCTTGAATTCAATAACTCTGACATATATAAACTGGATTGAATAAATATTTTTCCTTGTGGCAATGAATTGATTTTCTACATTGAATTTAAATACAAAGTTATAGGTTTCGAAGATTTAAAGTACATTTCGTGAAAATTCGTATTCTAATAAATGGATATCAAACTCATTAAAGTACATATCGCAATAACTTGTTGTCAAAGGAATAATAAACAGTTATATCCTTAAATCAATGTTATAACGTTGCTAATGTTACTCGGTAGTTTCATGGCAAAAAAACTTCTTCAGCTAAAGGCTACTTAATCCGATTATCAAGCCACGCGAGGAAATAAGGTAAAGCAGAATTGGAAAATGACTTTCTGCCTTTAAAAGAAAAAGAATAAAGGCGGCGTATTTTTGGTTATCTTTCTGTAGGTGAAATTAGTTTGGAAACATATTCCAAATTTTTCAGAAAACGTAGATTGACAAAAACATTAATTAAAATATGCTCTTTCCATTGAATAGATTTAAAAAGTACGACAATAATCAGGAAATAATCAATAAAGCTATAGAGCAGGTATTTTGCATCGTACGAAATATCTTGAAATAATTCGTATTATGCACTTTCAAAAATTTGAGTTTACACAAAGCTTTGAAATTCCAATATCATTCCCTTTGTTCGTATAGTAGTTGTGCCAAGTAAAGCTAAAGATGAGAATGGTGGTTATAAATTCGATAACTAGAGTTACACCTAGGTATTTCGATCAATTTAGAGTAAAGGAATATTATTAAATGAAAAACTTATCAAACATTGGAGCTACATAACATACACTGTTCGATGTGCTCGAGGCAAGACATTGTAATAAATTTATTAAAACATTTTATTCAACATCAATGAAATAATACAACACGTTTTTCCTGCACTAGAGATCAAGCTCCATTTTTACAAATAATCGTTGTTGGAGCATAAATAAAAATAAATAGATAACAGATCTTCAATATGTTGAATAGTTCAAGCACAAAATCTGTCTTATAATAAAAATAAGCAGAATTTAAAAATAGAAATTATTCACGTTAATTTTCAAAAACATTTAAAAATTGAAAGTAGCATTTATTTCGAAACTATCTGTGTATGACTTTCTTATCTAGTTAACGTTGAATAGGTCACGTCATGGAAAATTGTTTACAAAAGACCATGCGATGTGTAATCATAGCATAGACGCACGTATTCCTGTATGCTTGTATCTAATATCTCACCTGATTATTAAAAATGTAGCTTCCTATAAGAAGGCTATAAAAATCAGCTGTTAGTATGGACAGATTGACAGCAGTGGCACTGGTGTTCTTCATCACGATCGGCAGGGCGACGTAGAGGAAAAATAGGCACATAGTATACCCCAATAGGAAAGAAACTGTAATATAATAACAATATATATAATATATTCTTTTCTGGTTTATAAGTAAATAATATAATGGATAATGTTATAATCATTATTATATATATATATAACTTTCTATTCATTATGATTGAAGTTACCCAGAGAAGTCAAAACAAACAGAAATTTCATATACTATGCAGGATATGTACGTTCAAAATGCTTCTTTAAAAATATTTATACCGATGAAGACTATAGTATGTAATATCAAACTATCTCATCCAGTGATTCCATTGAATATGCCATTTACATGCAATGCTTATCGCTTGTTACTTTAAAATCTCAGTAACTTTTACAGATGTAACAGCGATTTTTTTCAGAATAGTTTAGCTCTTGGTGTTAATAGAATAGTAGGAATAAGTTATAATCTAAAGGAGCAATTGTATAGTAGTCTTTAAATGTTTGGAATACCTTGGAATATTGATATGAAAATTTAAACTTCTTTGCATATACATATATGGTTTTCATATAGAATGTATAATACAATACAGATTCAGCTGAAATTTTATATGACATAACTTTGTCGAAAGCCATTGGCGATAGTAGCGTTATGTAGTTGAAAAACATTCTAAAAAACCTTACTCAGCTTTTATTCTACCAACTCATAATATAGCATAAATAAAAGTTCAATTCGATGGCCATTTATATAAGACTCCCGTAAATATACCACCCTCATTTACTGACACAGAATTAGTAATGAATGTAATTTTTTAACAATACAAAACGTCCCTTCTTAACACAGAATTAGTAATGAATGTAGTTTTCTAACAATACGAAATATCACTTCTTAACACAGAATTAGTAATGAATGTAATTTTCTAACAATACGAAATATCACTTCTTAACACAAAACTGGTAATGAATGTAATTTTCTAACAATACAAAACATCACTTCTTAACACAGAATTGGTAATGAATGTAATTTTCTAACAATACGAAATATCACTTCTTAACACAGAATTAGTAATGAATGTAATTTTCTAACAATACAAAATATCACTTCGATAAAGATGAAGCGAGAGAATTACCCCATTCCAAATCATCTGTATGTTTATGTAACTCTACATTAAATATGAAATAAAAATATTATGTTTCAAATACATTTTTTGTTATACCATTAACATTTCAGAAGAAGAAAAATCTACAATTACTTCAAAAGGAACATTAGTACATTAGTGAGTTACATTAATGATGGTCATAAAAATTAATAAAACCGACAAAGTCAAATCAGTATATTTCGATATGGTCTATCAAAGAAAAAATAATTAAGATAAATAACGAGATGTAACTGAAGGTGCTTATGTGTGAGGAACGCCTTCTTTGTGAGCCTTAGGCAATCCACAGAGAACTCCAACATGTTAACCACTGGAATTCAGCATGGAATGTTATGATGTATCACACCGTAGTTTCACACCTTTAAAATAAGCTAGTTAAATATGTATTCTAAATTTATGGACTTTTAGTTACATGGGTAACCTAAAAATCTATTATCAACATTTTATTTGTTTGTTGAATTCCGAACAAAGTTACTCAAGGACTACATGCACCACCAAACCTTAACTCTTGAGTTACTCTAATCGAATAGTGAAATTGACTGTAACATTATAACGACCCTACGGCTAGAAATGAAAACATATTCGGTGACGGGATTCGAACCAGTGACCCAAAAGTTGCGAGTCCGGTGCCCTATCAACTAGGCCCTGCAATAAGCTTTTAGCATCAGAGATGTTGACCTATTCTCAAACAGTGTGTTTTTATCTCTTTTTTTCCAGTCTCTTTAATCCCCTCCCCTATTGCTATAAGGATAGATAGTCCTTTGATGACATTTTATGGTTTCTCTTGAGTAGCTCTCGTACCTACATATCCGTGTTGTGTTTTTCAGGACTTAACTTTAGGTCTTTTGTTCCCATACCAGAGAAAACATCTTTCTTTTAGTGTCCTTTTTCGTCTATGAAATCGAAGCAGACCAATATGTGCATTTAATATTTCAAAATTAAAATAGTAAATTCAGTTATTTCTCTTTTCTTCATCTGTTTGAAATCAGATGTTTAAAATTTTCGCTTTAAATGTTCTTTATAGTAATATCTAGCGTGTTTGATCTTTAATTTTCTATATTATATTAATTTGTATCTTGTATTATACATTTGGTATCATTCCTTCAGTTCGTCACATAAATAATTCAGTTAATTCTTTTCAACTAAAATTTCGATTCTCAACTAATTATACATATCTTAAGGTACCAGGAAGGTAATAAGAACAAGTTATAAGGATACAATAAAATGTTTTTGCACTAAAACAATCTAGTGGTATATGAGAAATCTTTAGGTATGTTGAAACACAAAATTTTCTTAGTGTGTTACACTATAACATTTATGAATACATTCTCATAGCGAGCTTTTAAGGCATATTGTTGCAGAAACCTTTCTGGGTGTTTTGCACAAAGCAACTTGGATCAGTGCTGCATAACAAGTTCCTAGCATACTTTCAAAGCAGAATATGCTTCTAAAATGTGTTCGTCATAAAATCTGGTCTCTTAATACTATGGAGGATACGTAAGTGTTAAGTAGAGAAACAATTCAAATTTCCGAATCTTACCACTTATAATACTATTTATATGGATGCATCATTACTATAAAATTATCCACACCGAGGACAAGAACAGAACGATGATAATATATATATATATATATATATACACTAGCTGGAGTACCTGTCCCCTGAACGGAAATTATGTAAATTCATGATTAATGAAACGTTATCTTAGGACATGAAAAGTTCATTCCCTTATATATATAACTGTCAAAAACGCCCATAAAAACTGCAAAACACAAAATGTGAAACCGCAACTTTGCACGTATCCTCGCATGGATTAAGCAAACCTTCATGCCACATTTGGTGAAGATCCATCAACAGGGGGCGAAATAGTGGTAAAAAACCACAAAACACAAAATACAAAACTGAAAATTTGTATGTACCCCCGGATGGATCTAATGAACCTCCTCAAGATCCATCCGCACCCTGCACATGGACATACAACAGACAATATATAGTACGATTATATTTATATAGATACTACTCAGTTGGTCTGTTGTATAATATCGAATAATGAATTCAAAGAAACGTTATAATATTATTCACATTCTACATTAACTTATGTTACTATATGATGCGGTAAAACGAACTCAAAACTCAATAGAACGGTGACAAGCCTATATATGTGTGGCGAATATAATGCTTTGTAACTTATCAAGTAGAGTGTGTTACCATTGAAAAAAAGTTCTAATGAAAAGAAAACTAGCATCCACACACTCCTGGAGGCTACATCAGTGATGCAAAATAACTCAGGTATAGAATGCGCATATACATAAAAAAAAAACTTATTCTACTTTGAACTTAAATATATTTTTGATAGTTAGAATATTGAACATACTTTCTAACCAGTCAGTTGTATGAAACAGGATCTGTTCAGAACAAAGTGCAGTGACATTAATTAACGCTCAAAAATATGGTATATGAAAGGCGAGTCTTCATAATTATAGGATACGTATCTAGAAATCCAGAAGTAAAATGTGTGTTTGGATGTTCTTTATATAATCTTTAAAATGTAACATTGTTGGTGTTAATACATTGTGATCTATATGGTAACAATAACAAGATAGCCACTACAATGTTCTGTTATTTTTATATTTATTTTTAAATGGGACACTGTCTATCTGTTCCTCCCATACAAGACAAGATATGATCCGTTATTGATTTATAGAGCACAAATACGGATTGCTGTAATAGTTTGTGGTATACCAGTCATAAGATATCCCAATGTTTCTTTAAAAAAGCAGAATTGACCTTCGATTATTATTTGTAAAGATTAATGATGGCTTGTTACGGTCTAATTTTTGTAGTTTTCAAACTAGCTTTTACTACTCGGTCAAAGAAGATGATGATGAAGTATTAGATACAAACATTAAGTAGTGGTTTGAGAAAGTTCAGCCATAGAGAATTATGATGATTTGTTAACGTATATTAATACTTCGTGATTATTTAGACTCAAAGTATCACTGTAAATTGTTAAAATACAGACAAGTGATAGAGCAAGGATTCATTTACAACGATCCTGGTTCTTTACTGTAGTACAAACATTTAGTACAGATATTCAATCCTGGTTATAAATTGGAATCCACCAGGAAATAAACTTTGCTCTAAATACCTTTATTGATGGAAAAACCATTAGTATTGTCTCTTGTCGCGTGTACAAATAGTATGCTGTAAATAGTTTCAAATCAGCTATTAGACACCATTAAGTATTGACTGATTTGGCTGAATCTATTGATAAATATTTTCTTAACAAAACATTTCTTTTTTCTTATATTTCTGTTTTATTTAATGAAGAGCACTGGGAAAGCACCATCATCCAAATAATTTATAATATTTCAACTTAATGGAAAAAAAGTATAAGTATGTTATTCAGAAGCATCAAAACCTTTCTTCTGAACTAGGAGTTTAAAGAATAATAAAAGAAAGAGAAGCCTCAGGTAAACATCTATGAAGAAGGATAGTGAAATTCAAAGAATTTCAATATCAAATCGATCTAAAACCTCGAAAAAAATGCAAGATGTGCATGGAGTTGGAATAAGCAACAAAACTTTTCGAAAGTGGTTACAAGAAAGTGGTATAAATAGAAAAGGTTGCAGCTGAAAAAGTGGTTAATGTTTTGCAGCTTCTAAAGGAGAACAAAAATTCGAAGAATGGGCGAGACAGTGTGCCATAATCTGACGAAAATAGTATATTTTTTAAAAAAACAGTATGGAGATGTGACAATGAGTACTTGAATCAAGTGTATGTAAGTAAAATAGTATCATTGAAGCGAATCTGTAATGGTGTGGAAAATTTCGTCCACTAAAGAAGTGGAAAATTATTGTTAGAATTATTGATAGTGTGAAAACTATTTATTGCCACAACTTTTTGGCTCGTTACATAATATTCAATAGTCAGTAAGCACTGAGTTAACCTTGGCTTTGATTGATATTCAATAGTCAGTAAGCACTGAGTTAACCTTGACTTTGATTGATATTCAATAGTCAGTAAGCACTGAGTTAACCTTGGCTTTGATTGATATTCAACAGTCAGTAAGCACTGTGTTGACCTTGGCTTTGATTGATATTCAACAGTCAATAAGCACTGAGTTGACTTTAGCTTTGATTGATATTCAATAGTCAGTAAGTACTGAGTTGACCTTGGCTTTGATTTATATTCAGTAGTCATTAAGCACTGAGTTAACCTTGGCTTTGATTTTCACCATTATAATAACCCAAAACATACAGTTTTGCTGAAGAACAGATATTTGGTGTAAAAAGAAATATTTGATGATATAAAATAATCTAACAAAAGAAAAGCCAACTAATATTCGGCAGCTTAAGACAAAATTATAAGATGGTAAATCAAACCTAAAAGGAAATACTAGATGATGATCTCAAAACACCAGCAGCATCTACGTCTCATTAATTACGTCAATATAGGTGAAGTTAGAACAGTACCTATTAGATACAATCTTAGCCAAAATGTTTGCATACTGTTGACGTTATTGTCTATATTAATGGAGTGGTTATTGAAACAGTGGTTATAGTAACAGAAAAGGTAGCGTATGATCGGACAAACATTTACGAGTTGTTCTTCTGGTCTGTATAAGTCGTTTTGAGTATTTGTTCGTCAAAACACACATACACAATTGTTTTGTATAAAAGGGTGTAATTTTGGTATAATCTTTTTCGAAACAGATCAACACTTTGTTCAGACAATTTCTCTGTACTTAGTGTAGAGTCATACCTCGTCACGTACCAGAAGTTATAAGACGTCAAATTTTTCGACTGTTCAAAAATGGTATGAAGCAAATGGACATTGCTAGAACAATAGGGTATCCTAGTGTACTGTATCCAGAACACTGAAACGTCTTCCGACTGCAGGAAACGTTGTTTCAGGAAAGTATACTGGTAGACACCGAAAACCTATTGCCAGAGATGACTGTGTTTTTGAAATATTTTTATTCTGGATGAAGGAAAAAGGTTTAGTTAAGGTTTCAATATGTTTCAAGAGAAACCTAGCCTGGGATATTAACTGTATCGTAATGGGATTTAAGAGTGACCTAACCTTGGGTACTGACTGAATATTAGTGGACGTCAAGAGAGAGACGTCACTTGGGATACCTACTATACATAAATTAACAGGGGCCAAGAAAGACCTAACATGGGGTACTGACAATACATAAATTAATAGGGGCCAAGAAAGACCTAACCTGCAGTACTGACTGTACAGTAATAGCGATCCAGAATAACCAACACGAGGTACTTTCTTTAGACTAATGAGGTCAAGAAAAGTCTAACATGAAGTACTGACTGTACAGTAATAGCGATCCAGAATAACCAACACGAGGTACTTTCTTTAGACTAATGAGGTCAAGAAAAGTCTAACATGAAGTAGTGACTGCACATTACTAGGGTAAAGAGAGACCTCTTATGAGTTACTGTCTGTACATACATTAATAAGGATCAAGAGAGATCTAACCTCAAGTAATGAGTGTACATTAATGGGATTCGAGAGAGACCTAACATGGGGTACTGACTGTACACACATTAATGAGGATCAAGAGAGATCTAACCTCAGGTAAAAAGTGTACATTAATGGGATTCGAGAGAGTCCTAACATGGGGTACTGACTACACATTAATAGAGGCCATAGCAAGTCGTGGAAATAAATAAATACATATAAAAAGTTTTGTGTTTTATTTTCAGCGCAAAGCTACACGAAGGGCTGTCTCCGCTGTTCCTACCGAGTATCGAACCATAGTACTTAATGTTCTAAGCCCTCAAGACTACCACTGAGCCACCGTGAAGCACATATAAAAAGAGTCGTATTGTTTTGTTGAGGTAGCAGACAAGACACTCATCATGACCTGTATGTGACTAGTTACGGGAATGGTAAGTAAACACAAAGTCAACATACTGTAATTCGTTTTCTGTCTGTGAGAAGCTCATCTATAATAAACTTGAATAACTTTTATTAAAAAAAAGTAGGTACGAGAGTCTTCTAATATAAAAGATAAGATTTATCAAAATAAAAACAAATAAGAGGAATATTATTTAGGGCATACATCTGAAATGAATGGGAAACATGTCAACCTGCGTGATGTAAACATATCTCAACCATGAATGACTTACTGCAGTTCTGAGCAAATTCAGAACTTATCGAGACAGTTCGTTCGATCATAGAAAAAGTAAAATATCTCTCTTAAACGGGAGAAATATTTCTTGACGTGCAAAATGGTAAATTTCTTATTTCAGCTCCAGTTTCCGATAACTTCGAATTAGTGTCAGTGTAAAATACTTTCATAAATTTATAAATAATATTGTCTATCAACCTATCTATATATAAAATGTCTATATTGTATAAATGTACTTAAAATCTCTTTAAGCGTTAGGTAATTGTTGTATGATGAAGGCAAGTTTTAGGTTAAAGAGAAAAGTTATTTTTCGTTCGCTCTTATTTGGATATAACTTAACAGTCCAAAATGAAAGTGTATGTTGCAAAAGCAGCTATTTTAACAGTATTGTCTGTTCATTTGTTGTTGATTTTTGCACAAAGCTACTCGAGAACTATTTGCTCTAGACGTCCCTAATTTTGAAGTGACAGACTAGAGGGGAAGGCAGCTATTCTTGAGCTACTCTTTTCCATAGAATAATGGGATTGGCCGTTACATGATAGCGCCTCCGAGACTGAAAGGATAAGCGTGTTTTTGGTGACGGGATTAGAACCTGCAATTCGCAGATAGCGATTATAGTACCCCAACCACCAGGCCATGCCAGGCCATAAGTGTTTGTCAGTGAAAAATTACCTACGCCTAGATCACAAGCAGCAATTTGGGAATGAAGTACACTCATAAATAATCAAGAGTTATGGTAGCGATTTACCAAATATAGATGTGTGAATATATTGATTATACGTCACGGTGACTACAGTGTAGCACGGACCCGACGAACAAATCGGTCACTAGAAGTGATTTACCAAATATAGATGTGTGAATATATTGATTATACGTCACGGTGACTACAGTGTAGCACGGACCCGACGAACAAATCGGTCACTAGAAGTGATTTACCAAACAATCGGAAGCTATAACTATATAGATCAAGAGTCAGAGAAGTGGTGTGACAAATAGTATATAACTTGTGACGATAATTAACAAAATGACAGTTAGAGTGTTCAGTAGTACTGTCTTCGGCCTCATGTAAAAGATGGTGAACAATTGTTTTTCACATGAGAAACCTTGCTCAAAATACAGAGCTTTGATGTTAATATATTTAATAACTCTGAATTAATAGATGTTAAAAGGTGACTAAACATTGGCCTATGGTTTTTTTAAAACAAAATAACTTATGAAAACTTTAAACCTCAGCGTGCTTTGTATATTGATTTATATCATAATTTTTCTATATTTGTTTTTTATAGTCACCCCTCTTACGGTGACGAAAATAATATCCACAGCATTGAGAATGTTCTAGAAGCTTCGTTTTCTGGTGTATTTTATGTGTGGATTATATGTTGACTATCTATTGCGTAATTAACTAGAAATATAACCAAAAAGTTGTGTTTAATTCACTGGAAAACATTACTTAAATTATGAGTTGCATTTGTTATCATGGGCCAAAAATGAATATCACCGACTACACGGTACGACAACTAGCAGCTGTAATACTGAAAAAGTGTAATATCATCTAAGTCAAAAAGGCCCATAGTCTTCCACATAATCATTTGCGTTTAGTCGTTGCCTGGGAGACAATTACTTCAAGCATTTTCAAGCTGCTTAAATTCAATCTGTTTTTTTTTTATCGCCCCAGTAAAGAACGTACATATATATATATATCATTTACATAGATAGTAACTCAGCAGCTTGGCCAAAGACAAATCACAAACCACGAGCTTTGAATAACTCATTTGCATAGATAGTAGGTAGTAACTCAGGTGCTTCGCCACTGATCAAAGATTTCATTTCTTTCAACCTTGAATCAAGTTAAACGACTCAGCTACTTGACCAGAAATGAATGATTTCATCTTTTTCACATACTGTTTTCTCCTGCCCTAATACGTAATATTTTTTTTTAAATATTAAGTTTATTGATTGCACATTCTTTCATCTAGGAATTTCAGTTATGTCTACAATAATCTGAAATAGAATATTTATACGGCAAATATAGAAAATAGTAATAATATTTTATTCATAATTCAAATATTTTGTATGAGACATATACGAAGACAAAGTATATAAACAAATCCTATGGGAAAATATCACAGTTTGTTTAGCATTACTTACCTTCTTCCCACTCTTCCCAGTTTATCACAGCTAATTCCGCTCTTTCTAAAATAGCTCTGTATTGAAAAAAAATACATAAACAAATATGAATTAACAAGTTAAACTAATCGAGATGATCAAACCTCCTTCAAAGATTTACATATCAGCTCGAAACGTCACTTAGTAGTTATATCTTATAAAATATTATCTTTAGTATTATATTTGATAAGCCTAACATTTTTGCAATATATTGTAAGAAATAAACGTTAGGTTATAAATAACCAATGTTACTTACTGGTTATTTTAAAAATAAAACAGCTGTATTCCACTTTCGCCGAAAGGTTGTTTTTCCCGTGCTTTTGTGATTACAGATGAGCGCGCAACCTTATGATTTTATCGTGGCAAAAAAGAAAGAAAAGCGTTTAATGCTTCGTATGCCATTCATGTCAGTTCCTTTAATTGGAAAATGAAAACTGAGTGAGCTAAGACTTCTCCTAAGTAAGAAACTCCAGTAGCATTTTTCACCTCAACTCATAATATTCACGCAGTTGTTGAAAATGAGTTTTATAAAACACGCTTACAAGTAATCTTCGTTTCACCGCGGTTTTCATTTCTCAAAGAGCTGTCAAAGAAGTTCTGATTGCAAGAAACATGCATTTTTACGCTGACGCAAATATTAATAATATTTATCAAAGGCTTTTTCCTTGACATCTGTTTCACCATAAATCACACTAAATTCGGAAAAATTGGCACTGTTACAATCACTGAAATTAGAAGACGATTATACATGGATCTGGTAAAGCAATCATAATGGTTTTTATTTTATGAACCTACTGGGGTGCATCATTAAGTTTTCAATTAATATAGCTTGCTTGCGTAATAGAAAAGAGAAAAGTAATAATAATAATAATCAAATTTATAAAGATTGAAATAAGAAAACAATATTTAATTCGTTTGAACAGTACTTGGTTAGAAACGTTGCTAAATATTGTAACCATACTTACAACTGTATTCCATTTAGAACACTACCGAAAAGTCCTAACATCCCAAGGAATTCTACCCTGTTATAAGTTTTGATGACGAATTCTTCTGCAACATTAGACACTCCATAGAGGGCAGCACCAGTAAGACAGAGCATGTCTCCTAAAAATCTGTTGCGAGCTGAAAGTAGAAAATAACAGAAACATACTAAAATATGTATTCAAAAACAAAGAAATTAAACAATGTAACAAAACTAATAACGTGGCTTAACCCGCCCTTAAACAATATAGTAGTTTAAGTCGAGGAGTCACAGTAAAAGTGTTAGTGCTTCTTTCGTTAATAATGATTCATGTTCACTTAAAACATAATGTTTAGGGACAACAATGGACCTATTGGTCCCTTTCGGCTGTATAAATTTAAAAAATATTCTTATAGTCAACCTTTATCATTCATATAGTTATCAAGCTTTCTCTTGATCTCACTTAAATTTACTATATCCACAAAATCCGACGGCAACCCATTCCAGTGGCCAACCACCCTTTTAGAAAAATAAATCTGTCTTAGCAGAAGATGACTCCCACCTTGCCAAATTTCATACTTGTGTTACCTAGTCTTACTATTCTTGCCGTTAAGCATGAAAAAATATGATACATCAAACTATCAATTCCCTTTACAATCTTAAACACCTCAATCAGATCCCCTCTAATTCTTCTTTTCCCAAAAGAAAACAATTTCAGAAATATTAAAGTCTCCTCATATGACAATCCCTCCATCCCACGCACCATTCTAGTAACCCTCCTCTGAACCCTTTCTAAAAAGTTAATGTCCTTCCTAAGGTAAGTAGCACAAGACTGAACACAACACTCCAAATATGACCTAACCAGTGACCTATGGAATGAAAATATAATATCTTTAGGCTTATATTCAATATTGCAATAAATACAACCTAAAATCCTATTTGCCGTACCTCTAGCAACATCACATTGCTTGAATGGCGTAAAAGATTGATCAACCATTACACCAAGATCACTTTCATTCATGACACTGTTAAGGTTACTCACATCCAAATTATACTTGTAATTCAAATTATGATAATTCATATACATTATCTTGCATTTATTATAATTAAAACCGATCTGCCATTTATTTGCCCAATTCAATAAATGATCCAAATCCTTTTGTAAAGCAGTAGCATCCTTTTCACAACTAGCAGCACCCAATACCTTATTATCATCAGCAAATATTAGTAATTTATTGACCATTCCTTCATCTATGACATTGATGTAAGTAAAAAAAAGCAAAAGTCCTGAGACTGAGCCATGAAGTACCCAACTCTGGTTTCTTCCACCCAGCCACTCTTCTATTCAATTTGCTAGCTTATCCCCCACACCTATAGATATAATTTTTTACAAGCCATTTATGTGGCATCTTGTCAAATGCTTTTTGAAAATCCAGATACATCACATCTACATCCTCACCCTCATCTATATAAGCAGTAACTTATTCATAGAATGTCAAAAGATTTGTAAGGCTAGCTTTTCCCTTAGAAAAACCATGTTGACCATCCAATAAAATTCTAAATTTTTTTAAATGACTTTGCAATGCATCTTTTACAAGACTTTCCACAACTTTTCCCACAACTGATATAAGATTAATGAGCCTATAATTACTCGGACAATCTTTATTACCTTGGGCTACCTTGAAAAGAGGAGTGACATTAGGTAACTTCCAATCCTTTGACACCTGCTCACTATACAAGAACTTCAAAAAAATAGTAGCAAGTGGCTCACATATCCAATCCTTAACTTCCTTTAAAACCCTTGGGGAAACATTATCTGGCTCAGAAGCCTTATCCTTTTATAAATTTCTCGTTTTTTTCTTGACAATCTCAGAATTAATTCAATCATCTCGTTCGACCTTGTTTCCATCTATCAACTGTTCAAGATGAAGAATACTGCTTAAACCTACCCTTGTAAAAACTGAAGAAAAAGCAGAATTTACTAACCCAGTCATTTCATAATCATCAGATACAAGCCTCCCTTTATTATCCCTCAGGGGTCTTACCCCAATCCTAACATTTTGTTTACCCTTAATGTACTTAAAGAAATCCTTACTGTTAGTTATTACATTTTCAGCTGACCTTTTTTCATACATCCTTTTTGATGTCCTAATTTCCTGTTTGACCAACTTTCTTGATCTTCTATAATCTTATAAATCTCCCGTCATACCAATCAATTGAATATTTTTAATTTGTAATACTTTTCTTTAATTTTATCCTGCAGACCCTTTGTGAACCAACCTGTTTTTTTTTCTTGCAGCCACCATTTTCTTTCTATAAGGAATATACTTATCTCGAATATTTAAAAATTTTCCACATTTGCTCAGTATAAGTATATTTTTGAACGAATGAAAAACTACTTAATAGTTAATATATGGTTCATTATTATACTCCAACATAACTGAAAAGATAAAAAAGATCTTAAAGTGAACACAGAATACATTTGATCCAATATAAGACTATTGTATTTTGTATATGATAGTTTTCATTGATTAATATTTCTGTTATTACGAGCTGTTTTATGTGCGATAAATCGATAAAGACAACTCTTTGTTGGCTCGTTTTAAGTAAACTTTGATCAATATTTTACGGTTAATTTAACATCTTTTGTTTCCGGACACTTTAGATATAAGTTTGCTAAAAACTGTTTTGTTTCGGACCTCTTTAATTAAACACAATTTTTAACGTCTTATTTTTCTGTTCAACTTAATTAAATAACAATCTGTTGAAACGTTTTAGTTCAGCTTATTGTAAATAATCAAAATCTCTATTTACGTTTAGTCAACCTCAGATAAAGTTTGTTTGTTTGTTTTAGTCTTTTTCTAATGAAAGTCATCAAATTATTTATTTTGTCCCACTTTATTTAAAACTCATGTAACACCACTTGTTTCGGCCCATTTTAAATAAAGCTTGTTCCCCCCCCCCCCCACCACACACACACATTCAACAATGAGATATTATTTTAAACTTTTGTTGGGCCCACGTTAAATAACGCCAAGTCGTTTCTCAAAATCATTCTTTTGGTTCACATTATATAAATATATATACATATATATATATATGTCTGTATGTGTATGTATAAGCTTCAATCAAAATCTTTTATTTTCGACAACATTAAATAAAGTTTGATCAATATATATTCTTCGAATTAGCAAACTATTACTAAAGGGTACAGGGATTTTTTGGAATCAGGCAAAGCCAGTGTGTGACTAAAATAACGGGTGAGGCAAGAGATTTTATGTAACCTCTCTCTCACCAGTTAAATGGTGAAGAAACACATTCAATATCCTCTCTCTCTCACCAGTTAAATGGTGAAGAAACACATTCAATATCCTCTCTCTCTCACCAATTAAAGGGTGAAGAAACACATTCAATATCCTCTCTCTCACCAATTAGAGGGTGAAGAAACACATTTAATATCCTCTCTTTCTCACCAATTAAAGGGTGAAGAAACACATTCAATATCCTCTCTCTCACCAATTAGAGGGTAAAGAAACACATTTAATATCCTCTCTCTCACCAGTTACTGTTTTAAGAAGTATCACCAAAACTTAGGAACACATATCTTATTCTACTTCATAAGTACATGAATAGATGATACTGATATTGGTACTTGTCTTCTGCCCTCCTGCTGTGTAGTACAGTTCCAGTCAATGTAAAATTAACTTCAGTTATTTCTTCTGCCAAAGATCATGTAACTACTGAATAGCGAAGAGTAGGCATTTGATTACCTGGTGATAAAGCACGAAACTACTTTTAAGAATTGCGTTGGTGCTCAACAACTTTAGCTTAACATTGTGGAAACAGAACTTAAACTTTACTAAAAGTGTCTGTGATTAGTTAAATCAAGTCTAAATTTGGACTCCCATTACAAAGTAGGCTGTAATAGGATTTAATTGTTAGACGCTACTGGGCAGATGAGTGTACTTTCAACTATAGATTTGGATCAATTAATTGTTTGTTTTTGTTTATTGCAAAGCTACTAAGGTCATCCCTAACTTTGACTGTTGACCAGAGGGAAAGAAATCGGCCAGCAGCACCCACGACTGAAAGAGTAAACATATTCGGCATCAGGTTTCGATCCTTGGACCCGTAGATTGCGAGATGAGATCCATAACCATCACGCCCCCGTAAACTAATAACAATTACTATAGCAGAATTTTGACAACAAAACTTCAAGTATTTTAAGCTTTGCATTGTAGAATAAAATATTAATCTTTTTTTATTTTCATATCATTAAAAATTTCGCGCGAAAGTTCAAATGTAAACAAAAAACATGTAAAATGTAAATGTTATTACCATTTATCATCATTAGAACTTTTGTATAAAGATGTTAAACAACTTCTTAATTTTTTGAAAATATATTTAAATTGCTATCTTAAACTGTAGTTATGATGGTCTTCTTTGTGCTGAAACAAGAAATTTGCGATTTCCTTTCGCTAATTGCGTTTTGTCGACTTGTAAACTGAGTAATACATTTTCACAATAGTAGATCATATTACTCAAGAGAAAACCCATGCATCAAAGGAAAGGGTCGTATTTTTGTAAGAACGATCTTCATGATAGAATGCAGTGGCGTGTGGCAGCAGATCATAACATATATATATATGTATCGTGAAATTCCAGATCATTCGATAGTCAACGGCGTGCAAGTAATTTTCAGTTGGAGGAATATGTCACAGCTTTTTGGACAAAGAAGTTTGCAGACTGGTCGTCCAGGAAAAAAAAACAGAACATATGGAAAGTGCTAACAAATTGGACTTAACCAAATCAACTGGGCAAAGATCTTTTCCTTGTAAAGAAACGTTAACCTCAAGCTCTTTCCATATATTGTTAAGCAAAAAACAAGCTGCATAAAATCTTACGAAAGATGCCTTCCCGTGAAACAGGGAAGTTCTCTTGTAACAATGGGCGGAACTTGGTGTACTTAAAGGACTCTGACAAGAAAAAAAAATATTTGCTACCGTTAACTAAGTGATAAAGGATATTCCAACATCATACAGAATACGTAAAGAAATACTTTCGTCAAGCTTTATTATGTACTATCACATTTAAATTTCACAAACTACACAGTTATTGTATGGCCAGGGTGCCAAGAAGGTATGGTTACATCTTGATGTGGCATAAAGTCACATTGTTAATTCCATAGCAGCCTTTCTACGAAGTATGTAAAATTATTTTGCTTGCTCACGTTATCCCCCTTCTCCAACATGTACGTGAATCACCTGATTGCACGTCTATTCATTTCTGTGCAAGACGTATGGTCTAAAGTAAACATCGCCCTATTTCCCATAAACTTGGTACAATTAAAACTATGGTAACAGGCAACAGTACATCATTATGGCCATAAAACTGAGTACATTATATTATGGAGAAAATATTTCCAAAGGAAGTATAGTCTTGTACATCGTTCTTACGAAGTGCGATTATCTTTCTACATACAGTGTTGCAGGACATTTTCAAAGACTAGCTAGATAAAACAAGCGACGTAAAATCTGTATACTCTAAACGTTTCAGGTCCAGATCTAACATGAACCTATTGAAAATGCTTAAAGAAATATATGCAACCTTATTCCTCTAACCTATCAACAGTTTTATTAATTCTATTTGAAGTGATTCACAAAATATGCGGTCTTATTCCATAAACCTATCAACAGTTTTCTTAATCCTATTTGCCCCCCAGTGGCACAGCGGTATGTCTGTGGACTTACAACGCTAGAAACCGGGTTTCGATACCCGTGGTGGGCAGAGCACAGATAGCCCATTGTGTAGCTCTGTGCTTAATTCCAAACAAACCAAATCTTAATCCTACTTAAAATGCTCCAAGGATTATATGCAACCTTATTCCTTAAACTTATCAACAGTTTTCTTAATCCTATTTAAAGTGTTTCAAGAAATATATGCAACCTTATTTCTTAAACTTATCAAAAGATTTCATAATCATATTTAAAATGTTTCAAGAAATATATGCGACCTTATTCCTTAAACCTATCAACAAATTTCTTAATCCTATTTAAAGTGCTTCAAGAAATATATGCGACGTTATTCCTTAAACCTATCACAAGTTTTCTTAATCCTATTTAAAGTGCTTCAAGAAATATATGCGACCTTATTCCTTAAACCTATCAACAGTTTTCTAGAATACTTGCCAAAAAAATAATCTACTTCATAGCTGCTTAGGGCCTTTAGCAATACATCTTAGCTATGCGTATTGTCCATCTGTTTGGAATTTTTTTATGCCAAATTGTCTCTAATTTCATATTGCACTAGCGAAGTTTCATTAAATATTTTTATCGATTCACCACCAAATCTTTTAACTTTTTTTTTATAAATTTGTTAAAGATATAACACCAATCGCTGTGTTAACTTTCAAAAGAAGTTAGTTTCAATTAAAGATTAAATCCCAACACACGAAATGAAAAGAAGTTTAAAATAACATCTTTATTTTCTGGTGAATAACTTGGCATCTGTACGTATAACGGTCATTAAAAGTTTTATCACTATATTCTTCGTCTTTAACTCTTCAATTATTAATTTGCTATAACCAGTTTTTGCTATATTCCTTCTAATACTGCACCATACGTAAATAATTGTGAAAACTATTTTGTGCTATTTCTGAATTACTTTATATTCTTATACTCGAGAAAATGATAGAACGTACGCTTCCATGAAGGTTATAAGTCTACTATTTACGTATTCTAACAATGCTTTCAAGCACTGAGAGAGAACTGAAAAATAACATCACGTGAACAGAATATTTTTGCCTTTAATAGAAAATCAAATCAAATATCTATAGCTAGCATGGTTATATGCATGTTTTTATAAATCGATTAATAGTAACGCTGAAAAAATAAAACTTAAAAATGACTATAAGATTATATATATAGTACTTCTATGATATTTTTTGTAATCAAGGTAATAATCTCGATTTTATATCATTTGAAATGTGTAACTACATCGGTCCTTTATTTTAGACTTACTGTTTAAATATTTAAAATAAAATAGCGTTGGATTGAAATTGCTTAAATAATAGTCATAGCAACTTCCTAAAAAAATGTAATTTTGACTTTCTGAATTTAATTGCTCAAAACGAGCTTGAGGTTTTCGTTTTTTAAGTATCTTAGTTTCTTTTTTCTTCAATATATTTGTGACTTTTGTTTCTACAATACACGTGTTTAAACAACTAAATTAAGACCTACCAAACTGGGAATTCTTCTCTTCTTCTAGATCAGCCCAAACAAGACACCCTACTCCGAGTAGAGCGACACCTACTCCTAATATATGGACAATTTTATAACGGACCTTCAGAAATAACCATGACAGAGCCAACACCATGGCAATAGTAAAGCAGTCGAGAAGCTGAAATAAAATTCCGATCAAAGTTAAGCAGTTTATTTTAAAACTATAAGTTTTCATATGAAAGTAACAAAGCAATGTATTACCTCAAAAACATTTCAATATATCATAATGTGCCGTGAGGAAAAACTAACCTATCGACTAGTAGGTCAACCTACTTACCAAAAACTTGTACTTAATCGAAGACATTTATGGTGTATAGTAAAATATGATAGTTTTATTAATATTTTATTGTTATGCAATTTCCCTTGTGTTTACACCGCAATACATTTATCCAGCTTCGTGATTCTAAGTTATTAAACCCTTTTAACTGTAGCTTAATGGATTATTTTAGCCCTAATCTAAATCCATCGAGATATTTTTGCCTTGAACATAAACTAAAAATAAATCTACATCTTGGTATTTATATCAATTACTGTAGCCACACGACATATTTACGTCTAGAACTTAGTTTTAGAATTATTTTAGTTTATCCTCAACTTCCTTTATTTTGTAATCTTAACAATTGAAATTATTTGCTCTCAACTCTCTTCCTCTGACCTATTTGATAAAAGAGTAGCTCAAGAGTTGGCGGTGGGTGGTGATGACTAACTGCCTTCCCTCTAGTGTTTCACTGCTAAATTAGGGACGGCTAGCGTAGATAACCCTCGTGTAGCTTTGCGCGAAATTCATATCAAACCAAAATGGACCTATTTGAACTTCAATAGGTTGTTTCATGTGTATATTAACCTTAGCTTAACATTTACACCTCAATTCTAGCCTTTTAGATTAGTTGTACCTTAACCTCAACCTGGGAAATTACTTATTTCGTTTCCGTAACGTACTAAATTATCTATATAGAAGCAACCTTAACTTATCTAATGTTTGTACCTTTAACCAGAGGATCAATAAATTTCGCATAAAACACAAAACCAGTGTATTGATTTGTAGTTAGAATAACTTTAAAAAATTATATAAACAGCACATTGTCCTAAAAACTTAAATGTGTAATCTTCTAGAACTAAAATTGAATGGAGTTATAGATCCTAAAATCGCAATAGCTACAATGTTGCCTTGTAAACGTTTGTGTCATTATATAAGTAACGTAAACGTTGTTGGGATTATATTTTGATTAGTAATTTCTTCGAGCTTAGATGAAAAATAAAGTATATAAATTCTGTATAGAAATCACTGATTGAAGAGGAAATATAGTGATGTCGGGAGTCATCGTGTCATCCCACACGATCACGTATCTCTAATGCTCCAGTGCCTACATCTTTACTATAAGTTTTTTTTTTTTATGAAACAAGTGTTGCAAATATGATTGTACAAGCGATATATTCTGGTCCATTCAGTTCATTGACAAGAAGGTTCCATCGCTATAATAATTTTACCAGATTTTTTTTAATCTACTTCTTTTAGATTCTGTCTGTTTGCCAGTAACTGTCCTTCCACTGCTGCTTCAGTTTTCTAGGAGACCGGTCCTTTTCCTTTCGTTTTCCATCGTTCACATTTTCCCACCATTTGCTCTTCCCACAATCAGCAAACACATCCTGTCTTAGGTGACGGACAGTTGTCGATAGCTGAAGAACACCATGTTTACAGTGTTGTTGCAACTAACAGGATTAATTTCAGAGCTTCTTCTATCACCGTCTGTTATGAAAAGTAGCTAGATAGAACCAATCTAAGATGCCGTATCGATCTTATCTAGAATACACTAACTTCTCCAGTCCCTCAATAAAGATATATAGCCTGACGTTGTTAAAGCTGTTGCAATTTTTATGTTATGTCTTTTTATATTACGTTTTCTTTTATTAGGGACCTCTGAATTACAGACAGAATTGTAACTAATAACTTACACACAAAAATTATTTCTAGAAAGCCATCAAAAATGTAGTTTGTAGTCATGTAATTATTTTCAAATTTGCCTTTTTGTTTTTCTTTTTATTCATGTGAATGTTGATGCTCTTTTGGTTTTGGTTTAGTTTTTCACTTTGTTAAAGTTATAGCTAGACTTTTCGTCGGACTGTACTATCATTTTCCAAAGAAAGTAGTTTTCAAAGTATACCTTTCTTTGGCAAATTTTTTCATTAAAATTCATATTCCCAGTGCACATAAAAACATTCTGTGCTACAAGATTCTGAATCCACTTCATTAACGCAAGTGGGTAATGAACTGGTTTCCTACAAGATAATGACACTCCGCTATTGCCGTTTGTATTGTTGAGCACCTGCTGTCTTTTCAAGTGCTTAGATAATAAAAATTCCAGGCAATTCTTATGAATATTACTCTCAATCAATGGAGGAAATGATTTTCTTCTCCTCAAACGTAATTTCCGATTTAAAAGCCGACGCTCGAGGCACTTGACAGCTTATATATATATTTTTTTATCGACAGTTAGCAGGGACAATCTTTCCATCTACATTATTAGTATAAAAGCATCAAGTTTCTGCTTAAACAACCACTCTCTACAATGAATAAAAATTCACAAATTACCCCCATTACCACTCAAAGTACCTTTTCTTGAATGTTTGTTTGAACAACATCAATGATTAAAATTTTTTAGTGATAGGCGACAGTATATGCGACAGATATTTGAAGTTTTTTTAATTAACTTCTTCAATGTGACTTAATTAAACTGTTTTCAACAAATAGAGTTAAAACAAAATATAAGTTACAAATAAAGTAATGTTAATTCAAATGTAACTACTTTGAGCCTAAACGCATAAACTAGTGGCTTCTTTAGGTGTTATCATTGTAGCACAAAGTGACACTGAATATCAAAATAAATTTTTAGTAATCGTGATAAAAACGTTAACAAAGATGAAGCAAACTTAATTTATGTAAAAGAATTAAAATTATTATTCTAAAAGTCAGATGACATCTGGATGAAACAAGTTAATATACGATTGTAATTATATAAAATATATATGTTAAAGACAGCTAGCATTTGAAATAATTAGATAGAATTGCCTAGTGTAAATCAAGTAAAATTTCATGTAACTAATAGCGAGAGCATGTAGCATCTGACAGTTATCATATAAAATCAATCGTGTGATAAAATGACACCAAATTATTTTTTATTAATTTATGTGCTATAGGAATTGGCCAAAGTTATGCATTGTTATTTTTTTCTTCAAGTGAATATGGTATGTTAAAAACGACAAAAAGAAACAGAAGGAAATTTTTAAAAAGAAAGATTGGTTAAAATCATGGTAACGTTGAAAAACCTGATTGTCTAAATAATCATCTAATTTACATGTAAATCAATACATATTCTGTGCTAGTGACAATTTACGACTGTGTTTAACCTCGTGCGACACTTTACCATGAATGAGGGCTGTCACTGAGATCTGTAGCCTTTCGAATGCAATTCATCCAAAACCAATATCACGGTGGGTTGCTAGTGAGTTTTCTTGTAAAATCCTCCAAACCTCCAGCTTAGATCGCACTAAACGTAGACAGTTTGTCGGTGTGACGGCTCTAAGATACCATAAAGCGTTTGTCACTAGAAGGACAGTACAATACGCTTACTTTAAAGCTTTCTGAAATTTTCTATATGATTTGCATGCACCTCCAGTCATCCGTTCCAAAATGGTCAAAAGTATTCAGAAGACTACGTCTAGCGTGCCAGAAAACTTCCCTCTTCAGCCTATAAGCTGAAGACTCAAATATATGAACCAGTTTCATCAAAATTCAACATAAGTGACAGGTTCAACCTTCATTTATTTTACCGTAAATACGTATGACGGCCTTATTACTTGATGGATTCGACGGAATTAGTAATGAAGAACAGCAAAATTGGGAAAACACAAGTCTCAGTGTATATTTAAAAATGACAAGTGCCGATATAAATTATCAGAACACTGATTTCAATGACAAATAAAAACCGTGTAAAATATCAATTTGTTTCGGTTGTTTACGTTAAACTGCTTGGATTAATGATTTTCTTATTTCTATATTAGCAAGTCTATTGCAAAATTTAAGGTGTTAAATAAGTTATCTGTCGTAAATGCGTATATTCACTCTCAAATACCATGACTGTCATAGATCTGTTTGTTAAACAAGTTCCAAAATTGTCTGAGTTGTGTATGTTAAACCGTTAAGATTTGTTCTAGATACATCAGATAAATGCTAGATACCACGTGATTGCATGGGTTGTATATTTTGGTTTATTCTTAACCATAGTATATGATAAACTGTCTAGAATATTTCGTGATGTTAGGAAAACTCACTGTTTGAGAAAAATCAATTAAAGAGAAAATATCAGGTATCATGACTGTCCCAGTCCAGGCCATTCACATGGGGTACATGTTACACACTCATACATAATTATATATATATACTATACCAACACATGCAAGTACATCAAATGCACAGACGTAAACAGCATCATACTCACCAAAATTACCGGGTCCGTATGGATAGAGTCATTAAAGGACCGGAGCCCTTAATTATTCCCCTGGTCCAAATTGTATATGTGCTTTCTTCTGGGACTATGTTTGCCCCGTTTGTATATGTTCAGTTTTGATGAACCTTGTTATTATGCCACATGATTACGTTAAGGTGTTATACACCATATTTTGTTCGTTTTGTTTAAAGTTACGATTTCAAACCACAACCTTCCGAGTTATACATTATTGTACCAGTTTTTTTTATATATTAACCGGTTTGGTACCAAGACTGTGAGCTTCCATGACTGTTTTCAACTGTGAATGTTAAACTAGTATAAGCATGAGTATTCCAATTGTGTTCTTCATCTGTCAAATGCAAAGGCCTGGCATGGAATCACGATCTGTGGGATCGAAACACATCACCGAAAATGCTCGTCCTTTCAGCCATTTCAGGGCATTATAATGTCACATTAAATATTACTATTCGTTAGCAAAGTTTAGCCCAAGTGTTTACAGTGTGCATGGTTCATTAAATACCTCCCCACTTGTCTATTACTTCAAAATTGTGGACGGCTAGAGCAGATAGCCCTCGAGTAGTTTGGCTCGAAATTCTACAAAAATAAACAAGCG